ATATGGGCACTCCGTGTACTTTCTGCTCAATTTGGCTGCAAACCTAAATCTGTTCTGCATACACACACACATCTGTCTTTCAGGACCGAAGGCCACATTGTTAAGTCAGCAACTACGAGCCACAGAGAATGTGGCTGCCGCAGAAGCAGACCAGTCAGAAACAGAAGGTGCCCAGCAGGCCGCGCTCCTTCAGGACCCACTGCAGTGCCCGAGGGGAGCCAACAATTGAGCACAGAGTGGCCACTTCTGCCCAACGTGGGAGCGGTAGGGCAGAATGTCTGCCTGGCGCCGGCCGCTGAGCTGGCCGCCCCTTGGTCGGAGCTGCACCGCAGGCAGGCGCACTGCTCTTCCCTCCCACTCGCCTCTCACAGCTGTCCCACCTGCGCGGGGGTCCGAGGCCACTGCCCCAAACAGATCTCTGGCATTTGGGCTCCATCACGGTGTCTACTGCCCAAGGACTCAAACTGCAGAGGTGCGCTAGAAGATTCAGAGGCAGGCAAGAAACACATGCACCTAAACACACGTGCGAAAGAATATAAAGTACCCGAGGCTTCATCTGGTAGTGGAATCAGCATGAGCAAGGGCAGCGAGGGGAGCGCCAAGGACATTCGCAGAACAGTGCGTCAAGCGGTATGGCTGGAGTGGAAGGTTTCCATGAAGAAACCATCACATAATGTTGAAGTACACTGGGCCAGCCATATCGGAATGCTGGGCAGAAACACAACACTTTAAAGTTTGGAAATATGAATATGATAGGATATAAATACTACTTCACGAAAATCAATCTAGTCAGTAGGCAGGAACAGAAACTGGAGATAGGAAAAACAGGAGGCGATTGCAAGAATCTTGGGGGGGTGTGTGGAACGAATGTCTTTATAAACCTCCCAATATAAAACATGTAGATACACTAGATAAAACAAAACATCTCTGAAAATGCAGAACTACGTTCGCTCAATGGAAGTAAACAGGGCCAGAAGCAGGGACCAGAAGCAAAGAGAGACCAGGAAACCTGGGTATTGAACAGACATTGAAGCCTCGGCTGCCCGTGGACGGTCGGCTTCTGAGGGGTTCTAACAGCATGAGGAGTCTCCTAAGGACTGGGCCCTCACTGAAAGAGCAGATCAGGGTAAGATCTCTGCCTTCACCTTGACTCAGAGCCAAGGAGAGGAACAAGTTGACTGTGAACACTGAGGCCCGCCGGCAAGTGAGCCTGGGGTCTGACTGTTTACAGCACAACAGTGAGAAACCACAAGCCAAGTAATTACACAACTCCCACTGGCAACAAATGCAGATCTCCTCTGGAGGACACACCCTCAAGCCCTTGTCTTTATGGAATTCCCACAGAGAGAATCTCTCTAAATGCGGGCTCACAATACAAAATTTAAAAATCCACAAGGAAACAAGCCTCTAAGTGTAAGAATCTGAAGGAACATCTAACTAGTTGTAGCATAAGCCATCCCCAATAGTAACTTCAGTTATTGCAAACAGATCATAAAGGAAACTATGTTTAAACATTTCAAACAAACAAAAATTAGAATTTTAAACAAAAGAAATGATACGCTATCAAAAAGGAGGATAGGTTTGAAAAAAAACAAACATGACTTCTAGAAATTGAAATAAATCCAAAGGCTTTTTTTTTTTTTAAAGCAGATGAGACACAGCTGGAGAGACTAAGTAAACTGGAAGAGAGTCCTCAAAAATTCACCCAAAATGAAGCACAGAAAGAAAACATGAAAAAGAAGTTGGAGTCACAGAAGATAGAATGAGGTTCAACATGAGTGACAGAGAATATTTGAAGAGAATGGCTGCCTATATTCCAAGGCTGATGCAGCTCAGAGCTACCTTACAAACAATAGGAGGTTACAAACTTCACACCAACCAACTTATCAGTGACCTCCTTTGGTCAAAGATGACTGCCTCTCAACTAAAATAAAATTAAACAAAGTAGGAAAAGCAGAGGCAAAAGAGTAACCGAATGATTTAGGAAAAAAGTGGTAACTAACCAGAGACATAACATAACATCTTCCTACCTTTAAAACTCTCGTGCAAAGAGTCAATACAGTCCGTGAACAACTGCACAATGCTTAAGGCCACCACAGCATCACTCTCCAGCCAGGGGTAATGTCGTTGGCTGCTTTAAATAAAAGAAGCACACGCTTAGAAAGGAAAGCACCGTGATTAAATCACTCTAGGTCCCAGAGTCTAGGGACTGCCTCAGTCCTTACAGATCACTGTATTATGTAGCCCCAAAACACATTCTGACCACTTTAACCGCTGTGAATTCCTGGAGATGAATCGTAGCTCATAATAACAATCACACAATTTTATTTACTTTCCTTCTAAACCTTTCATTCCAATGCAATTACGTTTCAGAAATGTGTTGTCTACATAGATTAACACCTTTTTAAATTCAATTTACACCCCTGTGTATCTCGGTTATATTTCAAATGCCTCAGACACGTGCCACTAAGTGGCTTCAACAGTTTTGTCTACCTAAAACATGGAAAAAAAAAATCCCTGTAACAGAAAGATGGCCAAAAACGGACAGATTTCGAAATAACCAAAGAAAAAAACTCTTTATATGATCATTTTAGTTTCTGAACTGGGCCCAGAAAATTCAATATCAAAATAAATCCCATTAATTCTTCCTGGAAATAAACAGCAGTCTGCATTATGGCCAACAGTCTCGGAGTCAGCACGGAATCCTGAAGCTTGCAGATTGAGGATAGTCCTGTAGCAAACGCAAAGATCCAGAACCTTTTCGATTTTCTTCAGCGAGCTCTTGGAGCAGCATGGGCTAATGCCAAGAGTCCTGACAGGGGAGTCGGAAGCCCTGAGCTCTGCTCCCGGCTCTGGCCCCCACTCGTGGTGGGACTGAAGCAAAGCCACTCATGTTTTCTGAGTCTCAGTAACAGATCAGTAGTTGTGAAAACACCTAAACACTGTGATATCTAGCACTGTTGTAATTTTAACAAACTCCTGACAAATTCACCTAGCTTTGTTTGTAGGCATTTAGGGGAAAATAGAAGGCAACTCCCGGCATGTGAACAGTTTCTACACCTCTGTTTTAAATGCTCATAACATCATGCTTTCATTTAATCTCCAAACTCATGTGAAAGGGGTTCATTGCCACCCAGTAATTCAAAAGCCAACTTAGTTCCAAAAAATAAATAACTGAGGTACTGGATAAAATCAAGTTAGTCTCATATTTTACAGTAGTATATTATCAAAATCTAATTCAGGAGAGTAACACCCATTTTTCTGAAATTAAGTACCAAAATTTATTCGACGTCTTTTTGTAGAAAACTGGAAATAAGTGTCTAGTTTTGCTTCAAAGTTAATAGGTCTGATCAACCAAACTAACAATTCCACAAGCAGAAAACGTCTTAAGTTTCCTTCATAAGGAAGCATTTCCTAAATTTAATATGGCCCTACATAAAAAATTAAATCCGTGACGCATCCCTCATAACAAAATACCAACAGAACTTTAACTCTATAAATTTCAAAAGAATATGAATCTCTGAAAAACGATTTACCTTTCATGGTCCTCCAAAACCAAGATCCATGGCTTAAAGAGCTGGATGATTACTGAATGTAGGGATCTCAGCACTAAAAACAAAGCAAAATTTTTAGAGACAAGAAACAAGCTCATCCTTTGTCAATATCACTAATAACGCTAAAAAAAAAAAATCTACTTATTATCTGTATACTCACAAACCTATGTTGATAAACAACACATTTCATGTAACTAAGTTAAGCTCATGTTTTCATCATTTGCTGCGATGGAATTTCCTGAGGAATTTTTATTACTTCACAGTGTCATGGATAATTTTATACCGTATATTTTTTAAAAGATAAATGTTTAAACATTCAGAACCCTTTCCCAAATGAGATAAATATAGGAAGAAAGAGCTGGAGACTGAAACCTATCTCCGTGCGCCGTGCCCCATGAAGGAGGGGCAGAGACAAGCTGAAGCAAGCACACAGTGTGCGAGTGAACATAGGTATGATACATAGATGGGTTCACGCCTATACTATATATTTCCTATTTCTTCTTCTTGACACTCAGATATATAGTTTTATTGCTAAGATTTAAATATCTTAATGTGTCTATTCAAGTCTCTTCTAATGGAAGGTCAGAGCACCTTGCTCCGTGGGGCACTAAGGGCATATTACCTGTTTTGCTGCTGGGAAATGGGTCTTGAGCCAAGCAGGCCATTTCTGAATCAAGCAGCCGTTTTACAAGATAGCCCAAGAGTGTCTTCATATCAGCCATGTAAGGACTCCATTTTGAGAATAAACCAAAGCTTTTAAAGTCCAATGTGGATAACCGAAGCTTATAAAAAAAGTTTGAAAGCCACTGTATAGTCTCCACTACCTGGAAGAGAATGACGGGTCAAAGAGTCCTTACTAAAGGTCTACTTTCAGCAGAGTACTAGGGTCGACTGTGATGGAGGGCTCGGACTTTGTAATAGAGTTGCAAAGGTGTTTGCATAGGAAAAGTACATCAGCAGATTTCAAACTCTTTTTCTAAAGCAGAGGAAGCATTCTTTCCAGTACATTGTCATGCGGCCCCACATCACATAACACTGATGAAACCGAGGGCTCTGTGGGACGCTGCATGAGAACCTGACCACAGGAGCCAGGGGTGTGAGGTTAACTGGGTGGGGTAAGGTGGGGAGGGAAGGTACACCCAGAGGATGGGTCTGGGCTGCTCTTGAACGGGTGAGCAAGACAGACTCTGAGGTGTGAGAGAAAGGCAAAGGGTGCATGGGAGGAAGAAAGTGACTGACAAAAACACAGGGCTCTTAAAGATAATGCACAGAAGTGCAGCTTTTTTAGGTAAAAATTTTGAATGTGTTCCAACTGTTTAAAAAACAGATAGCAAAGGAAACAGAAAAGGAATGCAGAGACATAAACTTCAGACACCAAAAGCTACACACCTGCTTGTCAGACAAGAGAACATCTGGAGAGCTCTGAAGCACCGAGCTCTCTGCAGAAGCTGCCCCCTGCTGGCAGTTTGGGGCACAGCAGCCCAGGGCTCTCAGAGTGGCTTTCCAACACTCTGGGCTCAGCAGCTGCTCGGCGGAGCCTTATGGGGCAGGGACGGAAGACAGCAGGTTAGCATCTTTCACAAACTAACTTTTTCAACTTGAATCAAATAACGTGTGTACTTTACAAAGGAATGAAAATTCAATAAAAATCGAGAACTAATTCATAAAGACCTATGGTGAAGAGATTGCAGTAAAGAGAACCTATGAAAAGAACTGTTCACCTGGACACTTCACCTTCCTGGTTCCTAGTAACCCTGCTGGGAGTGAGCACAGCTGGAGCCATCTGAGCTGGAATCCGGGGGTGGGGGGGAATCCCACCTACCAGCCCCTAACTCGGGGACGGTCAAGGTACCACTTTCCTGGCTGAAGCTGTGAGAAACAGCAGTAACAGGACAAGGGAGACTGGATTGCAGAACGCAAGTGCAGAGTCCAGGCTCTCTTCTCATACTTACCCCTGAAACTCCACTCGTACAAGGGGCAAAACCTAAAGCAACACAGAGACAGCACGCAAAATAGACACTAGAGCCAGCACTCTGCTCCTGGTAAATCTCACATCCCAGAGGCCAGGACTAATACCTCCTCTGGCCCTTTCCACCCAGAAGTGGCCTGAGGATCACACAGGATAAGAGATTGGTAGGAGTAGATCTGAGGGGAGAGATGATGAGGCAGCTGCAATCTGCTGACTGGGAGCTGTCTAAGGAACAGTGAAGGGTCTGTGTCGAATGGCTACTGTGGTCTGGCTCTTGAGGACACAGCCCTGAATCAAGTTACAGGTATGGGAGTCACGCACACCTAGAACACAGCAGGGAAACCAGGGAAAACAAGGAGCTTGTCCATGAAGAATGAAGAGAAGAGACAAGCAAAGGCTAGAGCCCCAAGAACACCAACATGGTGTCCAGGGAGGGAAGGTAAACCAGGAGGCTGGAGGTCACGGAATCGGCCAGTGATGGTACTGTTATTCTTAAGCCTTTAACTGAAATTACTTTCCTGGTAAGTATAAATTTCATATTAAATGCAAGTCAATAGTTGCCTATACACACTGCTTACAAGCTCTTAAAAAGGCTTCAGGGAAAAAAAACACAATATATACTTGATCAAGTTCTGAAAATTTAGAGCAAAAATTAGGCCAGCATGCATCAAAATTGTACAAATACATCTCCCTACCCCATTCTCCACCTACCCTCAACCTGCCTCCACAGAAACAATGAAAGCTTGAAGTACTTTGAAAACGAGAGCACACATTTCCGTATTCTTCAGGTACTTCAATATATAAAATCATTACCTTATTCCTTAAATGGTTTCTTAATATTAAGTAACACAAAAATGTGGCATAAAGCAAAACTCAGTTTTCCATTACATCTATAAACTGTATGAAGTTCGCATGAAAAAAGTAAATACTATCTCACATTTATCAAATTTCAATAAAATTCCTACCTAGTGAAATTCCCAAAATAAAAAAGCTAACAACCTTTTTACTCCTCTTCTAATCTCCAATACTCTAGTGGAAAATTGCAGGGCGGGAGGAAAAAGAAATGGTGGGAATGTAGAAAATTGAACACTGCTCTTTCCCTTGGTGAATATAAATACAGGCTACCATTACATACAGGTAAAATTTACTTGCAAAAAAACATGAGTCTAAAAAATTAAGGGGGGAGAAAAAAACCAAAATTTATCCACTATTTGGATCTACAGAGAAACCAGTTGGCAAAGTAAACATATTGCAACGGAGCAACTTCCTTCTTTTTTTTTTTTTTTTTTAAAGATTTTATTTATTTATTTGAGAGAGAATGAGAGACAGAGAGCATGAGAGGGAGGAGGGTCAGAGGGAGAAGCAGACTCCCTGCCGAGCAGGGAGCCCACTGCGGAACTCGATCCAGGGACTCCAGGATCATGACCTGAGCCGAAGGCAGTCGCTTAACCAACTGAGCCACCCAGGCGCCCCGAGCAACTTCCTTCTCTTACCAAATCTGTGGTCACCACAGTAAGCAGGCCCACTCCTAACCCAGCCCAGTTCAGGACAGCTGCAAAGTCAAGGGAAAGAGGTGGATGCATGACTGTGGACTTCAACACCATATACTAAGTGCTGTCTTGCTGAATCAGGGCCCATTTGAACATTTAGGATAATAACTGACCTTTTCTACAGACAGTACCCTTTTGGGCATTGTTCATCAAGCACTTCAGGTAAAAACTAGTGATTCTAAAACTCCTACATACTGGTCTTATTTTTACATTTTTGGATGACATCTGTAGAATGGTAAATGTCACATTAAATATTCACTGCAATCTAATCATTATAATTAAAAGACACTTACTTTGCATCAGCAGCCTGAGAATGTCACTGTACTGGTCAGGGAACTGATAGAGAAGAAGGTAAGTCCAGTGCTTACAGAAAAGATTAAATGGCATCAAAATATCTTCATCTGGTTCAAGACCCCAGGCAGTAAGTGCCAAATGAATGGACTCCAGAAGCCTGGTACGATCAGACAGAGGAGGTTTAGTGGTGTTTAACCATTGCTTAAGATTGAACTAAAAAGAAAAAGAAATAAGAAGCAGTTTTATTGACACCGGAAAATTAACTGAAGTAGAGAAAACTATGTGCAAATTTAGTTTAAAAGTCAAACATCACTCAGGATTCAGCTTTGTATAAAGACTGAAACTAAAACGTATATACAAGTACTTAAAAGAATCTATGCAGGTCAATAATTAATAGGTGTCAGTAAGCCGCCAGCTCCACTTCACCCTCTGGGATTACAGAGGAGAGTTTTCTCAGCTCTGCGTGCTTTTCTGTAATGTAAGAATGTTTGGTTAAGTTCTCCCTACAAGGCAAGAATCAGAACTCTGTCGTTCTGCCTCACTGGTCACAGTGCCAGAAACAAGCAGCCCCTTTATGGGACTGTCTCCATGTGATACGGTCACATTTCTGAGTCTGCAGTAGTAACGTATCTCAGTTAATAAAACTTCAGGGTGTTATCGATCACCTCCCAGAATTCGCAACTATAAAATAACATGTTTGCCCCCATTACAGACTGAGAGCAGTCTCTAGGCCCTAAAAAATGCCTAGGTTTTATGATTTATAGATGTCAGAGAAATACAAATGAAGGCAAAATCACTAAGGCTCTGCAATTCTCAAGTGGTTAAGTAAATTCATTGCTTGGGCCTGAGTTAATATTCTACTTGGAATGAAGACAAAGGCAATTTGCTTATTTCTGGCTTATTCCAAACATGAGAGACTTTGATATATGACATCTCATTTATCAAACACATTTTCAGCATAAATTCAGGATATATTCAAAAGAAGGATGCACTAAATTACTATTATGAATATTTCAAAGCTGTACTGTTTCTCAAGAGGGCTTGGGAGCGAAGTCCTTTTTCTACTATGTGGAGTAAGACTGCTCTACACAACACAACCACTGCTCCCACAAGAAGAAGCTGCGGGATCAGGCTGCTTGAAGATAATACAAAATGTGAAAAGGGTCTACCAGGAAACAGAACTCCAGGGGCCCCTTCATTTCTACAGAGTGGGAAACAACACCAGATCCTACATTTCCATGACGGCATCAGCACGGAATCACATCTCACCTTGGTCAGCAGCATGAAAATCATATCACTGTTGTCCTCACTTAGAAACTTCACCACTTTCTCATAGAGCTGAATGAATTCCGCGGGTGCAGCATTGGGAGTGAAGAAAGGCGACAGCAGAGAGCAGAGCCTTCTATTCTTCAGAACGGTCTCCAGTACTTTCCTGCATTCTGACTTAGTGCCGCTGATAAACACCTTGAAAGAATTAGAAAAGGAAAATGTCATCAGATTCTGCACTGCCTTCCCCCCCAACTTTTAGTTAAGCAACCAAGCTTTAAGGGCTAATACAGAAGGCAAAGAGAACTTTTTCTAAATGAAAACATGAAACAATCAAAATAATCTAAAATCAACACAGATAAACCTAACACTTCCAATGATGGTGATATTAAAAATTCTGGATTATCCATGAATTTGATTTGGACAAGCCATAGGGAATTTCTAAAAGATTAAAATATTAGGATAATTTGAATCCAGAAATTTGCAAGGTACCTACCATAATTTCGAAGTATTCAAAGTGACCCTGCATTTTGTCAAGAAAGCAAAACCTCTAGGTTATAAATTTTATTGAGATGTGCTTTTAGTACTTTTAAAAAGTTAACTTTATTTATTTATTTATTTTTTAAGATTTTATTTATTTATTTGACAGAGAGAGACACAGCGAGAGAGGGAACACAAGCAGAGGGAGTGGAAGAAGGAGAAGCAGGCTTCCCGCCGAGCAGGGAGCCCGACGCGGGGCTCAATTCCAGAATCCTGGGATTATGACCTGAGCCGAAGGCAGACGCTTAACAACTGAGCCACCCAGGTGCCCCTAAAAAGTTAACTTTAATAATTAATATTTAATCAAGATAACTTCACCATGTTTTAACTTGGTTCTAATGTTTTAAGTACTGGATATAAGTATTTAAATAATTTCAGGGTCAGGAAGGCTTTGATAGGCCGGATCACAGGCAGAAATAATAAAAAGCAAGACAGAGAGATCTGAATATATAAAAATTTTAACTTCCATAAGGCAAAAAGTATGATAAAATTAAAGGAAAATGACACAGTAGAAAAATCCATTTAGAACACATTCCAGATACTAGGTTGAAAGTCTGAGGAGCTCCTTCAAAGCAATCAAAAAACAGAAATTCTACAACAGAAAACATGCAAAGGACAACAACCAGCAAATCATAAAAAATAATTAAATGGCTAATAAACATAAGGAAAGTCATGCAAGTGAACAATTACTTAAAGAAATACAACTTAAAATAATAACAAAGTACACTTGCCCTATTAGATTAGCAAGACTTAAAAAGAACAATCCTTCCTCACACTGGTTACAGTTTGGAGAACAATAAATTCAAACCCTGCTATGATAGTGGCAACAGGTAAAAACTTCCCAGGGGGGCACTGTGACAATCTACACCAAATGCTAGTCCCTCTGACACAGCGACCATACTTCTAGGAAATTATCCTGGAAAAAACAGTCCAAAGAGTTCACAAAGATGTGTAAGAATATTTATCTCAGGCTCATTGCAGCAAAACAAACCACCTGAATAGCCATCCAGCGGGCACGGGCTCAATACATCACAATATATCTGTACCACGGAACACTATGTATTAAATACCATGAGATCAGTCTGTTTTTACTAACAGAATAGTATCTAAAAGTTGTGTTTGAATGAAAAACAGTAGGTTACAAAATAGCACTTGCCCATTTTTGGGTATATATGCCTATCTCTATCTATTTAGCGATACGTAGAAATGATGTATCATTTCTACATATGTACACACATACGCTAACATGCATATACACAAGACAGACCATAATAAAATGTTAGCTATTTAACCAGTATCTTCAGGAGGTTAGAATTATGGAAATTTTTCTTCTTTATACTTTTTATACTGTCTGCATTGCTTATGGTAAGCACACATCAATTTTAAAATCAGGAAGAAAACTTTAAAAAATCTATCTTAATATCTGCTCTGCATCACCTCTTTATAAGTATCCAATAACAAAGTACTCATTCCACTGAAACTGGGTGAGAGTACACGGTTAGTGTTTACACATTTTCCATCAAGTGGCTTTCCTTTCTTTAATGACTTATTTCATAACTATGCATGCATACCTTGCTCTTGCCTTTTAAAATATCCATATATTTAACAGTAAGTCAAATAAATAAATAAACAAACAAACAAACGGGGACCGAGAACAGCAACTGGGAGGCAGCAGTGGGGAGGCAGAGTGAACACGGAATGCTAAGGCAGAACACATGGGATCCAGGCTCAGCTCCAGCACTGACCAGCTGGATTCTTTAGGCAAGTCATTTCATCTATTAGAGACCAGTTTTCTCATCTTTAAAATGAGAATGGTATCAATCACATAGAGTCACTGTGAGGATGAACTGGAGAGCGTTTTATAAACAATAAGGAACTTCATCATGTTAATTGTTAATACCAAAAGCATATGCGTTTGATGTCTCCCCAGAGACTTTCAAATATGAGCAACTTTATATCTATTGGATGAGAAGCAATATTCTATACCAACAATTTTAATCACATCTTGAGACGTCAAGAATTCAAAGGGGCTTCTGACTTAAGTAAGAGTCCGAAACTGTAATGGAAGCCTCAAGTCAACCGTGACTATATCTAATGAGGATGCTGCAGGAACTCAATAGATGTGAATAAGGCTAAAAAACACAGAAGTACCTTACCTGTCCCAAGATCTCAATGCATGATGTAAAGAACTGCCTTGTGGGAGGATGACGCTGAGTTTCATCACTGACATAATCCACAACAGTAAAGAAGAGGCTAATGCCAACCTTCTGAACCCCAGGAGTAGGCTGCAACTTGTAGGCATTCACTAAGGCCCTGTGGGAAAATGTAGGTAAGACTATTGGTCTACAGTAGGAGAATCCAGACTCACAAGTATTTCTCTGGTACTCTACACTTCTCAGGCAATATTCTTAAGAGTCCTTCAGAGCCCCATACAAATGTCACTTTAAAAATATTCCATGAGATTGGGGCGCCTGGGTGGCTCAGTCAGTTAGGTGTCTGCCTTTGGCTCAGGTCATGATCCCAGGGTCCTGGGACTGATCCCCAAGTCAGCTCCCTCTCAGCAGGGAGACATCCCCTGCCCATCCCCCCACTCATGAGTGCTCTCTCTCTAATAAATAAAATCTTTAAGTTTTTATTTATTTTTTTTTAAGATTTGACAGAGAGAGACATAGCGAGAGAGGGAACACAAGCAGGGGGAGTGGGGGAGGGAGAAGCAGGCTTCCCGCCAAGCAGGGAGCCCGATGTGGGACTCCATCTCAGGATGCTGGGATCATGACCTGAGCCGAAGGCAGACGCTTAACGACTGAGCCACCCAGGCGCCCTAATAAATAAAATCTTTAAAATAAAATATGCCATGGGGTAAGTATCTTCCAACTTGGCCCGACACTTATTTTTAATACACAGAAATGATTTTATGTCCTCCTGGGAGAGTGGGGATCAGCTGTATTAACATTCTTACCCTTATCAAAATTACCCTTTCATATTTTCTATGTAATTCATAATTTATTCTTTCACTTTGTGTATTCCTTATAGAATACATATTTTTAAAAACAAGTACACTGAGTTCTCTAAATTTTAAAATCCAAAACACTGAAAAAGATTTTTGTAGAGTAAGATCCTAGAATAAAGACACCTCTTCTAAGTCTCACACTCTTTTGAGTTCCTTTGCTGGTAAAAGAAACATTAACTTCTTGTTCACCTCACCTCCTTCTTCTTCCCAGGTCCCCCAATCCAACCTACAAAAGGACTCAATGCCCTCCTCCGTATCACCACCCCAATCTACTGGGGGATTAGTTGCTGGTACTAGAATGTGGAGTCACCTTAAATCAAAGGCAGGGTCAACCTCTCTCCCAAGTCATGCCCTGGTGGCTTTAAGAAGAAAGAGGACATTGAGTGTAAGCCAGATGCTCCATGGGAAAAAAATCACAATGGCTAAATGCAAGCTGACAACTACAGTTGAGAGCCCTAATTCCCCTGAGCAATTCCACTTCAAACTCTGCTCAGTAATCTGAGTTGATGATGATGATTTTCTGGTAAATGTAACTATAATCTAAAGCTTAAGCACTAAATCTCTCCATGATTGAATTTCAATATGCTGTGTCATCTCATAATTCAGGGGTCAGTAAGCTTATTCTATCGAGGACCAGATAGTAAATATTTTATGTTTTATGGGCCCTAAACTGTCACAACTATTCAATTCTGCCATTATAGCATAAAGCCATACACATGAAGTAAATAAATGGGCATGGCTGTGTTCAATAAAACTTTATTTATAAAAAGAGGTGGCAGGCCAGATTTGGTCCAACGGCCATTGTTTGCTGATCCCTTACTAATTTAATTAGTAGGTGCCTGGGGGTGTGGTAGCAGGTAGGATTACTATCAGTAGTAACAAAATAGATTTTTAAATTATAATGCTCTCAAAACTTACGTAATCAAGTTTTCTGCATGGACCGCAGCTTCCACAGTATTAAGTGATGGTGGTTTAGCAGCTTCGGCTTGCAACTGCTTCACTTCTTTTCGCAAAACATGAAGCTGCTGGCTTATTGCTTCATTTTTATGCATACCTTCAAACTAAGAAAAATTTAAATGGTCAACAGACTTTTTTGTTCCTATTATGTTTCTACAGCAAAGATTTATTACAAATATACTGTGTACTTGATGAAGAATTATTACTACAATTAATATTATAACTCAAAATTCTCAGCTGAATGGGACAGGGATGGGAAAAAAAATGTCAGAAAACTATGCAAGAACCTCAGGTTTTTCATGAAGAATCAAACCTGAGTCAATTTATCGCTGGCTCAGTCTTTTGTAGGATATGTTCTCTGTCACTTATGTTTGGACTCCCCAGCTCTCATCAAAAACAGACTTAATGTATTCTACCACTGAGGTTTTCCTTGAAGCATACCACGCCCCTCCTCTGTTGAGCATCTTCCCCAGAAGCTTGACCTCCCGTTCTCCCCACCCAATAGCACACACAGTTCAACTCAAAACACTAAGGCTGCACATCTCATGTGTGCCACACATACAAAGACCATGATACAGATGCTGTTAATAAAACACTTGCCATTCTGAAAGGAAGAAAGGATATATAATTATAAAACAAACAACAAAATAAGATAAAATACAGGAAGTGCACAAATCAGCTGCATGCCTACAAAAGAGCAGTTGACTGATTCAGTGGTCCCTGAAGCTCATCTCTGATAAAATTTTTACTCATTCTCAGTAAAGATGTGACAAAGGAGAATTTACTGAGCTTAAAAAAAAAAAAAAAAACTAAATCTATTTCAATTTAAAAGATTAGCCTTTAGTTAAGATTACATCTCTCTTATTTGAGGGGATTGTTAATATCCCTTTTCTCTAATTAATTGATGGTGACCTAGGGGCGCCTGGGTGGCTCAGTCATTAAGCGTCTGCCTTCGGCTCAGGTCATGATCCCGGGGTCCTGGGATCGAGCCCCACATTGGGCTCCCTGCTC